TCAAAATATGACAAAACCCTAGTATTTCAATGATACTTAAATAACTCTGGTCGTTTGAAGGTTGGACATATACCCTTCAAACTACCAGACCTTTCTGGTAAAGGCAGCTTTTCTATTGGATTTTGGGTGTTTTTGAAGTCTGAATTAGAAAAGATAGCCTATAATAACCTCAGTCAGAAAATACTTAGTTCCAGCTTTTTGATGGGTGGCCTGGAACTTGAAATGATGACGAGTTCCAGTTAAAAATGAAGTTGATGCACCTACACGTTTCCTCTTTCAATCTGTCTCAGACATTTCCACCAGGGGGTAGTCAAGCACAAGAATGAGTTAGCCTACTTGTAGCATTGAACATCTCTGTAGAAGACTGTTTCCTCTGATAATGTGCCAGATCACATTAGTTGACGACACCGTTTATATCTTTGGTCAAACGCTGCAGTTTTCTTTTGAAACTCGCTTGATAAATCATCTGCCAGACTGCGAGCCTCAATTTCTTAATTGGATACTGACACTATCTGAGGCAAAACTAACAGTCTGCTCTTTAATTGCCTCTTCCACTCAGACGGCATTCACCTATAGGATAGCCTATATCTATAATAATATTCTCAGGTAGCTACCCCATGGCATGCCTAATGTGTTCTTTAAGAAATCTCTCTCTCTCTCTCTCTCTCTCTCTCTCTCTCTCTCTCTCTCTCTCTCTCTCTCTCTCTCTCTCTCTCTCTCTCTCTCTCTCTCTCTCTTTCTCTCTCTCTCATTTTTAGACGATTATTTTATTTTAGACGAAGGCGAATTTGAGACTAAAGCTTTCAAGCAAAAAAAAAAAGTATAAGCTATATAAGATAGTTGTGTTTGGAAAAACTAAACAATATTCTGGGTTTATATTATTATTGTATAAACTGTTATTCAATGATAATCTTCACAACTGGTTACTGAATTATTGAATCAGAGTCAGTCCGATTCTTGCACGAATGGTGTTGGAATGAATCAACCGATTCATTGAAAAGATTCAAACATCGTTACTTCTCCCTTCCTTTAACTTATGAAGTGGAGCCTGGAGGAAATGGTCAAGATTTCGTCTTCAGTAGGCTTATGTAACACAAATGTATCATACTGAAGACTTACAACGCATCATGGACCAACTTTATGACACATTTTCATATTTTTTTAAGCTTGTTGGAAGTTGGAACGCTCAGTCCTCATTAATTTTAACTGTACTGAAACGCCATCAGCTCGTTAACACGTCATACGATTTTGGAACTACTGAGGGGTGAGTATAACATTTTTCATTTTTAGGTGAACTATCTATTCCTATTTCTGTATCAAACACGTGCAGCTGGTCTACCTGTGAACTTGAGTCAACCTTTTGCTCCACAATTCTTTGCCTGTTCTGATAAAGTCACTTAAGGCCTCTGACTTCCCTGCAGTGCAAACAGAAATACTCTTGTGTCATGTCTCTATACAGTACATTGTCTAAATTACTTACAGGGTAGCCTAGTCCAGGCCATTGAAAACAACAACAACAAAAGATTCGGGCAGACATGTTATACACAAATGAACAGGGGCTGTAGCAGCATCATCCAAAGGGGTCTTTTCTTTTGTATGCGTTTGAGTAACCGCTGTCCTTTGGTTGACTTTGCTGTGCTTCGTTTCATTTACACACCCCGATCGAAACCAAAATATTCTCCTCACACAGTCACTCCCTCCTTCCTGTATACTCAGTGGGAAGAGAGTGTAATGAATACAAAACAATAAGGAAGTACTGAGGAATAAAATGTTGATTTATTGTCCCATTCTAAATATGCATCCAGCCCAGGTCCTTACCTTCGAGAAACCTGACTAAACCAAATGCAGTGCCTTGCAAAAGTTCCCATTTTAAAAGTAGCATGTTATTTCCTGAATAACACATTTTGCAAATTGCCTTATTTTTGCCTCCACATTAGGGATGTTCTGGTGTGGTTTTCCCCAATGTGTAGAACGGTTGCATATTGATCTGAAACTCAATACAATTTTTTATATTTTATATGTTTGAATTCAGAGTCAACTTGAAATAAAAAATGACACAATTTCACTTCTTTTTGCACATTTATGATCTTATCTTTGACAATAACTCCTAATTTTTGTCCTCACTGAACAAAATTCTCTTTCAATCTGAAATCTATTAGATAATTAGAGTGGTTTGCGAACAGCTTTTTATGTTTATTTTAAAACTCAGAAAATATTCAGGCATGAATGGTGCTCATGCAGATGATGTAGGTTCAAATAAGGCTTGCAACACGTCCGATCTCTTTTTGTAGTTTCCTTTTCAATTCATTCCTTTCTAATAAACTAATTTTAGTCAAGTAAGAATACTACAGAGAAGTTCCTGATTTGTAATTCAATTAAAATGAGAGACTTTTAAATATACACAGCAATGCAGATCCCTAGAGCGTAAGCTATTGCAGAGTCAGGACAGTGGATGACTAATATCAGTCTATAGGAGAAACATCCTCACATAAATATTAATGTTTCTGTGACCTATAATACTGTCCTTTCTGCTGATGGAATTGACCATGGTCTGTCTCTCCCTCTCGCAGAAACAATTAGAAAGCTCTAGAGAGCCTGTTGCAGCAAAAATCAATAGCTGTAAGTTATTCTTTTATATTTACCAAACAAATAGAGATGACTGTTGTGAAGCTTCTTTCACTGTGGGAATTTACTTTCTCAATTCCATTGGTTTTGGAAACATTTCAATTGACCTAAAACCAACTTTACAATCACTACAATCTGTTTACAGATTATTTACAGTATGATTACACTTACAGTATGATTACACTAACAGTGTGAGTACACTTACAGTGTGAGTACACTAACAGTGTGAGTACACTTACAGGTGAGTACACTTACAGGTGAGTACACTTACAGTATGATTACACTAACAGTGTGAGTACACTTACAGTATGAGTACACTAAAACAGTGTGAGTACACTTACAGGTGAGTACACTTACAGTATGAGTACACTAACAGTGTGAGTACACTTACAGTATGATTACACTAACAGTGTGAGTACACTTACAGTGTGAGTACACTAACAGTGTGAGTACACTTACAGGTGAGTACACTTACAGGTGAGTACACTTACAGTATGATTACACTAACAGTGTGAGTACACTTACAGTGTGAGTACACTTACAGTGTGAGTACACTAACAGTGTGAGTACACTAACAGTGTGAGTACACTTACAGTGTGAGTACACTTACAGGTGAGTACACTCACAGTATGAGTAAACTAACAGTGTGAGTACACTTACAGGTGAGTACACTTACAGTATGAGTACACTTACAGAATGAGTACTCACAATACGAGTACACTTACAGGTGAGTACCCTTACAGGTGAGTACACTTACAGTGTGAGTACACTTACAGTGTGAGGACAATTACAGTGTGAGTACACTAACAGTGTGAGTACAATTACAGGTGAGTACACTTACAGTGTGAGTACACTTACAGGTGAGTACACTTACAGTGTGAGGACACTTACAGGTGAGTACACTTACAGGTGAGTACACTTACAGTGTGAGGACACTTACAGATGAGCACACTTACAGGTGAGTACACTAACAGTTTGAGTACACTTACAGAATGAGTACTCACAATATGAGTACACTTACAGGTGAGTACACTTACAGTATGATTATATCTGCTCCACAGGTGTCTAAAGAACATAAGACCTTCATTCCATTTAAGGACCTGCAGTCTGTCTTTTAAAGCTCAGCAGAACATTGTAAAATATTCTTAGAATAATCTCAAAGCAGTCTTGTACATTTAGAGATCATTTTCTCTAAATGTACTTAATGTGAAGACGATGCATTAAAATTACAGCACAATATTCAGTTGTAATTGTAGCCTTCCGAATAGTGCCACTTTGTGATCAAATTAGAGAAAGCAAAAATTCACGCCTAAATTTGTAAATAATGTGATTAATGGGAAATTTGTGATGATGTTTTGTAATTTTCTGTGACTTGTTATTATAATTTTTTTGGAAACCTTTACATAGAAACTACATGAACAATATTGCATTCAACCTGTTTGGTTCTACTGCAAGCCATTAATGAACTTTGGGTCTGTGTGGAATGTTTAGCCTTCATACTGTTTAAGTGTATATGCCTTAGCATTCATAGAGAATGTGTTTGGATTGATAGTTGGATAGCTGATAAAGGAGATGAGGTATTAACTCTCAAAGACAATCCGTAACTAAATTAAAATTAAGAAATTTTGTTTTTACTAAACAAGGTTAAGAAGTTCACATAATACATTGTTGAAGTCATAGTTTACTGACACTATTCCTTAGACTTTTGGGCCAAATTTAGAAATATTCCAAGTGCAAATCTAATGTGTAATACAGTATAGAGATTACATCCCTCAAAATGTAGGGCGGCAGTGGCTCAGTGGTTCATGTAGGTTGTCTGCAAACCAGAAGGTTATGTATCTGAAAATGCATATTAAGAGGCATCTGTGCTGCATTGACCTTTACAAATCTCCCCACTAAGGCTAAAAATCATTGCAGAGCAACTATGTCACTCTCTAAAGTTTAATTTTGTCAGATGGTTTACTGTGATTTAGCACATTGAACTTGGGTATACTGCAAATACTTTTGTGAAGGTCAAAGCACCGGAGGCCTCTTACATTGGATTTTCAGATACTTTACAGGTGTTCGGTGAAGTGCACACACTAACACTAACACAATAACTCCTATTGTACACACCAATGTCTGTAAAAATAGGACCTTATGGGCTTATAGGGTACAAAAACATTTGAATCATTTAAATCTTTAAACAATGATTTGCTTAAACATTTTTAATGGAGGAAAAACGAAAATACCTCATCCATCCATGTCAATGCATGGTTACGGCTTTGTAATGAATGAGGGAACTCATTGAGGAATGGAGCTACACTGACTGGCATCTCTACTCAGTCTTGATGCGCGCGCATTCATAAATGAATATATATCTGCGGTCTCTCTGTCTCGTGTTCGCGCGCATCAGCGCTGGAGCTGACCGTGGTGCTGATCGCCTCGCGTTCGCGCTCGCTCAAGATCAACACTGACATGAACGAGCGGTAGATCTGAACACCTCCGAACCTGAGATTGAATTGGACGCTTCCTCACAGTCACAACCTGCAGTTTCGGAGGAATCAAGCATGAATTTGAAGTAAGACGGAATTATTTTGGAAGTCGATGGAAAGTCAGCATTATACCTGCAGCTGACATGGACGTTCCGGCACGTGTTTTAATAGGATTTGCGAACATGATGTCCATCCTGAGATTTTTACTGTACTTAATTTAATATGTGTTTATTTAGATGAATACATAATCATTTATAATGTTGCTATAAACAAAGCTGTTTAGAAGCAAAAGAAGATAACTACATTCATTTGGATTTGACATTTGTGGAGATAATGGCTCGCATTCTTGTCCTTCTTAACTCAGTCGGACTGTTGCTCTTCGGTAGTGAAATGTTTCTGGTGGGAGCAAGTAAGTTTATTCTTACTATGAAACATTTGTCTGATAATCAGTGTTCTGTCTTGTATTGAATGGGTACATTCAAATGAGATTACCTGAACAATTGGTGGCTTGCTTGGATCCTCTGTGCTTGGGTCTTTGTGCGTCTTTGAGCAAAATCATGCCATGAAATGGGTTATGTAAATTGTTATAATTTAGAACGAAAGATACATCGAGATTACAACGATCTCATTATTTTGCATCCCTTTAATATGGCATAAACAAATACAGATGTTAACATGCTGACCAAATTGTGCTTAAGAGAGACTAAAAACAGTTTGAATTCTTAGCATATTCCTGCAACTGTAAAAATGAATACGCTTTTTCTAATCAATAAAAATGTAGCTACAGATTACAAGTAATATTATAAATTAAATTGAACAAATTATAATTGAGTAATACTTAATCAAATTATTCCTTAAAAGTTAACCATTTAAAATGAGTAAAGTTTACACCAAAAAATTAAACAAAAATATCTGAATAACAGACAGACATCAAAGATTAATTAAGATCTCTTTATTTTATATTGCCAACATTGAAGACACCTGATGTTAACAAGCAGAATCACTGAAGGAGAAAAACGTAATTTTGAAACAAACCTAAAACAAACACTGATCACCATAATGGTGACTTAAATGTAAGTTTTTTTATTTATTTTATTTTTTTAAGTTTTACTCATTTTAAATGGTTAACTTTTAAGTAATTAATTTGATTAATTAGTACTCCATTCTAATGTGTTAAATTGAGTTAATAATATTGCTTGTAATCTGTTGCCACAATTTTTTTTATTAGATAAAGCGCATTCATTTTTACAGTGAAGTTTACAGTAAGATGAGAGGTTGTACTTTTTATTACAAATAAATGTAAAAGATTAGTTTTATTATGTCAAGAGATTATATGGCCCATGTAATTCTGGTCAGGATAAACTTAACAACCACTGACCTGCAGTTGTGTTCTGTGACACTATTTCGTTGGTTAAATTAAAAATTAATTAAACACAAGTAGTTAATTGTGCATTACAGAAAATTAACTAATGGCTTTGCTAGCACCTTTGTTTGAGCTTCACAATCGTAATTGTAAAATCCTGCCACATTATTTACAAAATAGCTTTTCTTGTATTCCTCTAGAATTATTGTTGAATTTTCATGCATGCACTTGAAGGCAAGGAAGCATGTCAGGAAAATATTTTCCGGCATTTTTCTAATCCTTTCCCTTTTTTTCCTCATTGAGTCATCTGGGATTTTGTGGAAGCTTTGATATGGCAGCAGTTGGTGCTTCTTTTCTCACAAGCACTGTGTTTCTGTCTGAAATATGAACACTTCCAGTGCTGAAAGTTGTTCCTTTGAAACCAAGACGCCTCTCCTTTTGCAAAATAGGTTACACCTGTCAGAGAAAACATCCGAATAGTGCAACATTCATGCTCAACAACTCCATATTAAAAGTAATAATTTACAAGTGCATATAACACCAAATAACCTTTACACTCGTGCATAAGCGCAGAGTCTCAACACAAAAGCATGAGGACTGTCGTATCAATACAAATACAGCACAATAGATGTACTTGATTCAGTTTAAAGAGAGGTACATGTGAGAAATTATGATCATGCAGCCTGAAATCTAGCCTTATTCAGAACAACTTCTTTGCAGAGTTGGTCTTTACATTGACATCAGACACCTGAAATGAGCGTCATCCACTGCTTAAAATACTACAGCAAATTCACTTTCGGTTAAACCCACGTTCGATAAAGACTAAAATTAGATGATGGTGAAATAGAAAAATGTGCACTATATGATTAAATGGATGTGAAACGCAGACCTGAACCGCAGTGACCACCATTAGGACAAACTGAAACAGCAACTGTGAGCCAGACAGAACAGACCTGATGCTATTTTGTCTTGATGGAAATCCTTTTCATCAAATATTCAACAAGGATAGCATAGATATGGGTGTGTTGTTTGTGTTCTAATACTTCTGGCCATGTCGTGTAAATCCAGAGCATTTGTGCTGAAATTGGCTTCCAAAAATTGTCCGACTTCCAACACCTCATCTGGCTCGTGTTGAGGTGACAAGAGAATTGCATCGCCAGGCCAGATTTGGTGGACTGTGGTCACCAATTACATTGACCTTAAACTGTCACACTGTCCAATTCCATCTCTTGCGGACCCAGGGAGACAAAGTGTTCACGGATCACTGCTAAAGCCTGCAAACCAATCAAATGAGTTTCCATAGCTAGGGACGTCATTGTCAGAAGGAAATTTGGTCCATAAGTATTTGTCCATAAAGTGGAAGTCATGTTTGATATTTTTGGGTAGACACTTGATTCGTTCGTAAATTGTACAACTTTTTGCGCTACAAACCAATGTGTTTATCATTACCATAATACATTACTACATACAATAGTGACAAAGTTTGGAATATCAAGCAACATAACAGACTGTTTTTGTAGCCTACAGCTAAAATAACCAGAAGTGGATGACACTGCAACCCTTGCATAGTCAAGTTTACAATAGCTCTAACTTAAAGGGTAATTCCACCGGTAGAGACATGTATTGAAAGTGGGTCATATATGTAGTTGATTAGTAGCATAATTTTCTACTTTGGGTCCTTGGCCGATGAAAGGCAGAAAATTACTTTTTAGTGCTTGTGGATTGTAGACAACAATCCCCATAATGCATTGCAATGCTCAGCTCCGCAGGCCACTCCCACTACTCCGCCCATCAATGTAGACTAGAGTTGAGCTCCACTCTACCGCCTGGAAATCGTTTCGCACAATGAAGTCAGATAATGGGCGCTGATATAATATGACGACGTAAGAGCGTCAAGCGCCCGCACCATCAGTCAATGGATTGGCGAGATTCTATATGGGCTTCAATCGGCACACTTACTCTGACATGTAATTTTACACTTGAAATGCAGCCAAACCTTGGAGTTGTGACGGTGAGGATATTTTCTCAACGGTTAATCGTCGTGTGACAACACCGGTAATACCGTCACCGGCGGGGGCTTTTAAATCGCTAATATAAAGGCAAGCGTAAAATGCGCACGTTTTCACGTGCATACATAACGGTGCATTTAAGTGTCAATTAGCGTCAATTCATCCTTCGCTTGGAGTTTGATTGACAGACATGTGATCTGACCAATCAAAATCCACCAGTCAGGAGAGTTAGTAGATTAATGTCGGTGGAACTTGGCTTTATCAGGCAATCTGTCACAACACATTAAAGAGCCACAAAACGGTAGGCCCAATTATTGTTTGATTTTCTTTGACTGACCAAATTTGAAAGTTGAGACTGTTTCATATTAAATATTAAATATATAACGTGTTGTCAGTGTCCTCTATTTTTCACTGCTTGAGAACATGGGTTAAATCCGAAATTGCCCCCTAAACCCTCATTTACTAGGCATATTCCCTAGATTAGTCCACTAAAACTGTTCACTTGAAGGAGTGAATGAGAAGAAGTAAGTAAAAACGAGTGAGCGAATTCGGAGAGCCGTTGCTGACAGAGACGCGATCTGACACGCCTCCCATTGGCATAATTTATGTGTTATGGTTTGTTCAAGCCCGAAAGAGAACTCGATACTGACGCGCGTCTTTTCTGTGGGTCGTGTGTGTTAACAGGCAGGATTTAACGACTACTGCGTAATTGCGTTCAATATTTTTAAGGCTTTAAACTTTTTTTTTTCACATGCCAACCGTGGTGCCGCGGTGGGCATGTCATGAAACCGGTGTTGCGACTGAACACCGGTAACACCGACTACCGTAACAAGCCTACCTTGTAGCGTTTTGTCTGCGGCATCTTCATTAATCCCCTCACTATCAGATGTTCCGGGAGTCTCCCGCAAATTGATAACGGCTCCCTGATGCCCGCAAAGCGAGTGAGCAAGAGCGCGCATGCGAGACAGATCAGACTGCTCCAAACCGCATAGTGCGTGCATGACGGAGAGAGTGAGAGACTTTGCGTGTGTGCGCTTCATGACACAGAGACTTTTCGTTCTTATTCGGTCTGGTTATTACCGTTTACGTTGGAACCGGCTCCCTTTTGGCACCGTGTTTCGGTACCCAACCCTATCCATAAGGCATCTGTCTGTGTATTTAGTACCTTCGTCCATATTTTCAAAAAACGCACTGGCACTGATCTGTGATAGATCTGTTAGCACATTAGTTCCAACCCCCTTTCGGCGGGTTTGAAAGAGTGGGAACTATTGCTTGTCTTTACAGAAATCCCCCCTCTTACACTTCCTCCTACAATGACGTAAAATGACGATTTTTGCATCATTGTAGAAGGAAGTGAAAAAGGTAAATAGCAGATTTCTCTTGTCTCAGGGGAAAATTAGAGAGTGTTGCACGACCATTCAATAGTATAACGGAATTCTAACAATGGAAATCTTAATGCAAATGGGTGGAGTGTCCCTTTAAAAAAAAAAGTTGATATATACCTGCATGTTTAAACCCCATACTTACAATCATGTTGCTCTTGCAAAATGTCCATGCTTGAGTTCTCCATCTTGTCCTTGGGACTGTTGAAGTGTGGGGTGCTCTGGTGTTACAGTGACATCTTGCTCTGCTGGGAAAGTGCAGCGCTCCCCTGAGGCTGACACACACTATGGCTTTGTGTTGATAACACCCTACAGCTCAATCTGTGAGTGCATTGTCTACCCTGAAAGGATCAGACAGCACAACATTTCACAAAATCTATCATGAAGAACTAATCCCTTTCCAGAATCCATTGCATGCCTGGAGGTCATTAGAGCATGAGATAACATTTTGGACAGAGACGTGTGAGAGAGATGCCACATTTAGGTGGTAAAGACAAATGACTTTTTTTGTTGTGTTCTCTTTATTGCATTCTCCAAACCGAAATTAATGCCGCAAGAGGGATTCTTTTAAATCCTTAATTTGGATAAGAAAGCTGAAGCAATCAATATACACATTTGCATTTTAAACAGTTGAGAGGACTTGCATTACTTAACA